ACCGAGACTACTCCGCCTGTATATTATCGTCTGGCTTGTATAGTCGGGTACTACTACAGAATAGACGGAGGTACGCACACGTGTAAGCTGTGTGAGGAGGTCCCGGTTGTTACAGCAGTCACGTCCCCTTCTCTTTCCTTCCAATCCTCTCCCTTTCCCCCACCCACTCTAAGGATTTTTCCCTTTTTTATTTTTTCTTTGTTTAATTATTATTTTCTTTTTCCGTTCACTGCAAACAGCACTCGAAACTCAAAGCTATCACCACACGAACAAGATGGTACCCAACCCGCCTCGTATACTTGTTGTCGGCGCCGGCTCTCGCGGTCGAGCTTATGCTCGAGCCATTCAATCCTCGACTGACGGAATCGTCACTGCAGTAGCGGAGCCTAACAAGTATAAGAGAAGGCAGTTCGGCCAAAGCTTCATTTGGGGATCACACGCTCTTCTGTCCGAAGGCGCCCAGTTCGATGATTGGCGTGACTTCATTGCATACGAGAAGGGTCGGCGAGCTCGAATTTTGGCCGGCGAGACGGATGTCCCGCCCGGCGTCGATGCTGCCTTTGTGTGTGTTCTAGATGAGATGCACAGGGAGGTCATTCTCGCCCTTACCATGCTCGGAGGCTTGCACATAATGTGCGAGAAACCACTGGCCACAACTCTGCGGGACTGCATCGACATATACGAGGCACTACGCACCAACACGAACGCTAAAGGGGAGCAGATGGTCTTTTCTATAGGCCATGTCCTTCGATACAGCCCCCATAACATGCTGCTCCGAAAGCTACTCCTCGAAGACCGTGTTATTGGCGATGTGCTGTCCGTTGTGCATACTGAGCCCGTCGGTTGGTGGCATTTCACCCACAGCTACGTCCGTGGTAATTGGCGTCGAGAGAGTACCTCGGCGCCCAGCCTGCTGACGAAAAGCTGTCATGATATCGACGTTTTGTTGTGGCTTCTCTGCTCGCCCGCCTCTTACATTGCTCAGCATGGCGAAACCCCCCATTTACCATCTACCATCAGCAGTACGGGCTCGCTGCAGTATTTTAAAAGGAGCCGAAAGCCGGCCGCCGCAGGGACGGCTACCAACTGCCTATCCTGCCCTATCGAGTCGTCCTGCAAATATTCGGCGAAGCGTATATACGTTACTCAGGACGAGTTTGGATTGGACTCGTACAATACCGACTGGCCTGTCAATGTCGTGATTCCCGATATCGAAAGTTACTCGGACATGAATGTGGCAAGGGAGACACTGCTTCACGAACTGGCCAAGGATTACGGCACTAACACTCCCGCTTTGCAAATCGAACAGAGCAACTGGTTTGGCCGATGTGTTTACGAGAGTGACAACGATGTGTGCGATGAACAGATTGTCACCATCACTTGGGATGATGACCCCGTTCCGAGTCTTCCGAGTTTCCCCCACGAATTGGGTCAAGAAAATGTCTTAGTTTCGAGCCCCTCGCGTGGTCGTGGCTCGAAGACGGCAACTTTCCACATGGTTGCTCAGACGAACAAGATCTGTCAGAGATATACGAATCTGTACGGCGTCGACGGGGAGATCTTTGCCGACTCGTCCACTATTACGATCCATGACTTTCGCACCGGGGAAACAACCACCCATTGCCCTCGGAACGAGGACCGCGGTCATGGAGGTGGGGACCTAGGACTGACGCGCCAGTTCGTTCGAGCTGTTGACAAAGTCAAAAACCATGGCTGGACTACCAACAGAGCGCAAACGGAACTGGTCGGTTGTACTCTAGAAGAAGTGATGCGCAGCCATGCTATGGTCTTCTGTGCCGAAGAGGCAAGGAAGAACAAAAAGGTGGTCGATTGGGGCGAGTGGTGGGCAAAGCATGTGGAAGGTAAGTTAAAGCGTGATACAAGCTAGGTCCTTGTTAAATCGTGCGATGGTGTACTGCTAGCCGGGGGCACTCTTCCTTTTGGCGATTAAGTGTGTGTAAACGTGTCCGTCCTGTTGAGGTACAGGAGACCGGACGAGGACAATTCATCTATAACGAGGAGAAGATAAGTTGCAGATTTAGAGCTGAATTTTGCTACATCTCACAAGCGTCCTGTCATTGCTTGATATTATGTCAGTGTCCCAACGGGTAACCTTCCCTAATTTGATTGCAGCGAAATCTGGATGGGCCAGTTATTTCCCCACTGCCTTGGAGTTGCCTTTCAGACCAGTCCAGCTCATCGTCCCTCAATTAGCAAACGGCGGTTCACCACCCCGGAAATCGTATATCATAGCGTGGGCTTGTACCAACCTTGGTTGACTCTTGTGTTTGTTGAAATTTCAGCTAGCATTTCTTTGTTGTTGGAAGCCAGAGCGTGAATTGGGGGGAAGCGGGCAAAATAACGACAGGCTATCTAAGAGCATGTCGTACGGTGGTGGTGGCCAGGGAATTATGGAACGCATACCTAGCTTCAGAGGTGACTAAAGAGAAACCCCCCTGTAAATGTAACAACAGTAAGCTCCAAAACTCCCAGTCTTGAAGGTTAAGTGCAAACCTGCAACCAGCATAGCGTATATAGAAGTTTACCCTCAAACTTAATATGGTAAAATGCAAAAATAGGGTCTAGTACAGAGTGATATCATCCTAGTTTTGTGCATCTTCATGTGGTGAGTTGGAGAAAAGGTGATCTGTGCACGAAGCCTTTCAGAGCAAAACCCCTGTTGTTGCGACACCTTGAGCCGGATCTTTGGTGTCGCTGGGACTAGGACGTCTAGTACACTACTGTGTTGCTGTACCGGATATTTCCCTACTTGTCCCTGCCCCTGCCCCTGCCCCTGCCCCTGTTGTCCCCGTTCGTCCACACACACGACATCCTATGATGCGTGTCGTCCGAAGTCAGTGTTACTACACTACTTGTGTATATGATAGAGGGAAGCTGCCTATGACAAGGACCCCGTCGTCCTCCACCATGACTCGCAGTTCTTCCACCTTTGTTGTCTAGAGGTAGCTTTCCTCCACCCTGAATTCCGTGACAGCGTTCTGTTTGCTCCTTCCTCTCCTTTCGCCTGCCCGCGAATTTCTGGCGCCTCCAGCTCGCGACCACAAGTGCACACGCAGCCGCATCGTTGGCTTGAACCTAGAAGCCCACATCCACTCGCGGCACCCACCTGCTCATCCACTCACATAGTCAACGAACTCCCTGACTCTCCGGCACCCGTCCGTCCGCCCGCCCTTCGACACAAAGTTCGACTTTCATCGCCAATCCCCCTTTTCCCTCCAAATCACACATACACTGCTGCAGCCAACCCCGCCATCGTTCACTTCTACACATCCCATACCAATCGACCAGACGTCATGGATTCTGCGCAGCAAAACAGTAGCGCAGCAGCAGGAGGAGGCAGCAGCTGGGGTGCCTTCCTCAAGGTCTGTCCTCTCCGTCGCAAACACACCGCGCATAAAATGATGGGTCGCTGACTCTTCCGGCCTTGACAGTCCATCGCTTCCTTCAACGGCGATCTCGCCAGCCTCACGGCACCCCCCTTCATTCTTTCTGGTACTAGTTTGACCGAGTTTAGCTCGTACTGGTGTGAGCACCCTCCCGTCTTCGCTGCTCCTGCCAAAGAGTCGGATCCGGCAAAGAGAGCGCTCCTGGTTCTCAAGTGGTTCTTAACCACATTGAAGCAACAGTATGCCAGCCGAAGCGAGCAGTATGGCAACGAAAAGAAGCCTCTTAACCCCTTTTTGGGTGAGCTTTTCCTTGGCAAGTGGGAGGACGAGGCCGGCGTTACCGAGCTCATCAGCGAGCAAGTGAGGTGCGTGCATAATCAGCGTCACGAGTTCTTTGTGTTGACCAATGCTAATCACTCTGCATGTGTAGCCATCATCCACCCGCAACAGCCTACAACATTACCAACCTTCCGACCGGCGTCCGACTTGAGGGTTACAACGCCCAAAAGGCCTCATTTTCCAAGACAATCAACATCAAACAGATTGGCCACGCTGTTTTGACGGTCCCGTCACCGACGTCGGACCAGCCCGACACCTTCCTTATTACCCTCCCATCTCTCCATATCGAGGGCTTGATCTTCGGCTCTCCCTTTATCGAGCTGGACGGTGCTTCTTACATCACTTCTTCTACTGGATATACCGCCAAGATTGATTACAGTGGCAAAGGTTGGCTGTCTGGCAAGAAGAACTCGTTTGTCGCCTCGCTGTACCCGACGGGCAAGGAGAAGGAGGTGCTTTACAATGTTTCGGGCCAGTGGACAAAGTCTTTCGAAATCCATTCTGGTGCGGCCAAGCACAACAGTAAGAGCACCCTCGTCGACTCCTGGGATCCCGAGAAACAGCATCATACTCCTCTCACCGTTGCCCCGATCGAAAAACAACACCCTCTGGAATCTAGACGAGCCTGGTCAAAGGTCGCCAACGCTATTCTCAAAGGAGACCTTGAAGCTGTGGGACAAGAGAAGAGCAGGATCGAAGTTGCACAACGCGAGGCGCGTGCTAGAGAAAAGGCCGAGGGGCGTATGTGGCAACGACGATATTTCAGCGTCCACACAGATGCGCCTGATCGTGTATTGACCCTGCTTGGCCCTGCTATTGGACTAGCTGAGCATGGTGATGCGGATAAAACTGGTGGACTGTGGCGGTTTGACGCGACCAAAGCAGAGAAGGAACGTGAGCAACCGCAGCTTAGCGACGAGGAAGCCTCCAAGATCGCCAAGGAGCTCTTAGGGCAGTAAGGTTTTGTGACAACTGCGATCCTGGTGATATCAGGATAGGGAGCTTTCCAACCCTCTGGGGCGAGAAACCATTGGTTTGTTAATGAAATATATAGGGTCATGGGCATTGATATTTCTAGTATATTTGCAACAATTGTCTGTAGCTTTTCCTCCAGGGTTTTTCCCTCTTTCTTTTCCTTTTTTTTTTTTTTTTTAATTTTTTTTTTTTATACTTTCTCCTTATTTTGATCACTTGCAGCCGCAAACAGACTATCCCAGCCTCGAAGAAGACAACGGAGATATGAACAAGTGAGCATGAGGTCATACATAGAAGGTTGGTGCTCGCAATGGGTAATAATCTATGTGGTTCACACCGAGTATGTTACGAAACGCGTGCGTACGTCTCGATGGGTACAAGCTCGCGACTCATGCTCGAGCCCCGCGCTTTATCTATACACTTGATGTTTCCGGACTTGATAGAGGCCGTGATGCTAATAAACAGTCGCTCTGTTATCTGCTTACCGCTCACTGGCGCAGTTGGTATCCCGTGTCCTTAGGTTTGTGCGCTGAATTCAAATGAAAGGAGAATCAGATGTACAAACAGAATAACCGACACACAAGAGCCACACAGAGATCCAGCGTTCATTTTCATCGAGGTAGTGCAAGTTTATGAATTCTCTCGTTCAAGTTCATAGAACAGCAAGTAAACCTCTCGTTGCATGCCCAGTACGTCGCGAGTACTTGCTTCTTTGACTTTGTCGTCACTGATACGCCACCATCGGCTGCTTGATTTGTGCCGTTTGGATTTCACAGTTGTGTTTGGTGTCTTGTTGTGAGGTTTCGACCCGGTTATGTCCGGGCTGCCAGCGCGAGAGGATGGCTTTGAGGCAATCTTGATCAAGGTTGAGCGCGCAGATGCGGCCGCAGATCGAAGGCTGTTCGTGTCGGTATCTCTTTCCCGAGACGTAGATGTCGATCTAGGCTCGTTCGCAGGCGTGATACCGCCGTCTACTCCTGGTGTTCGAGCCTGTCCGGATCCTGGTTGAATGGCTTGTCCAGGATTAATGTTTGAAGGTGAACTGGTGTATATGTACGCCCCGGAAGGTTGAAAGGTACCGGGGTTAGAGAAGGGTGGGTATATGTTTTGTCGTCTAAAGGATTCATAGTGCCCGCTATGGTGATTACCCTTGTGCGTCACAACGCCAAGAAGCTTGTATTTTCTCTGCTGCAGAAGGCCACCCAGGGGCAATAGTTCCGGAAATGTAACCTTCGCAAGATTTTTCTGAGAGAAATTGCTCATGTCGTATATGGACCGCGACAGATGGATGGCCAAGATCCTGGGAAATCCTGTCATACGGATGTGCCGAGCTATCTTCCGCTTGGGAGCATAGCGAGGATCCGGCAACTCGACACCCTCTGGTGCCTTTTCAGGATCCGTTTCGATAGCTAGCTCGAGACTGGCTAGAGCCGTGCGAGCTTTCTCCCTCGAGGACTCTGACGTTGACCGCTGAATATCTGCTTCGAGAACGGCCTTGGCATGTAACAACCGGCACTTTTCACATTTGAAATCCTCGATGTACTCGGTTTTGAACATGCCGTCGAAGCATGCGCTCAGAGTTGTTGTTGGGATATGTGGCACGTTTAGTGTTAGGGTGCAGAAGGTTGACTGAGTGGGCCTGGGTCTGAAACCACAAGTAAGGCATTCAATCTGAGATTCAAAGCTTCCTTCGAACGGGAACCCTTCTTCTGCTCTTTCTTCATCGGCGCCGTTCGGAACCGCGCTCGCGGCCGTTGCCGCCGGTTGGTCAGCGCCACTGACCTGCTCACTGGCCCTTAGAGGTAGAGGCCGATCCAGAGCTTCACTGTCTGATGTCTTGCTATTGAGAGATATCTTAGTAGTTGGTTGCTCGGCTCCACGCATAGCGTAGCTTCGCGCTCTCTGGCCAGCATGATACTCGTCGCAGAGCCTCTCGGCCACGACCTGAAGGAACTCCTGGGCGTCCTGTTGCTGTCTACTGATCCGCTGACCAAAGGCAATCTCCAGTGTCCTGACAAACGGCGAGGCCGAGATCGTCTTTTTGTAGATCGGTCTCTCGTTCAGGGCGTCAAGGATATCCTTTAAGCCCTTGGTGACGATACCCATCTGAAGTCCTTCGGCTTTCCACTCGGGAACACCACCACGGACTCGCCATTTGCTTGTCTCGTCGCCTTCGCCTTCGCCACCACTGCCCCAAACATCGCTCGGGATGGTCTGCGCATACACCCAGCCACCGCCCAGGCATCGACGATGAGTCTCCCGGATGAGGTATAAACGGAGGTCTCCAAGGCCAGCGAGAGCCTGCAGAACTGAGTTGATGAAGCAATCGTTTGCCGGATTGATTAGGCCCACGGCACCATTCCTCTTGATCGAGAACACGCTGGTTGAGTTAGCCGATGGATCATTATCGAGAAAATAGGTGGGACCAAAAACGTAGATTAGCGTAATGGCGGCGAGAGAGGCACCAGCTGCGTAGGCGGCTACTGTGAGTGTCTTGTCAGGCATTATTTTGTGCCGAACGTAGTCCTTTACTGCCTTGCGGCAAGCGGTGGTAGGCTTAAGGCGATTTGTAAGTGCAGATTCGAGAAGCTGTTGTCATGCGTTAGACGGTAAGAAGTCGTGATCGGCCTGGGTGGGGCTAGTCTTACGGCAGTATGAAGGCCAAACTCTATTTTTCTCCACTTTCCAGCTGCCAGCCCCGCTAACCGTACCCCTCCCACCTCTACCTCCGTTTGCAACTTTACACCCTACTACCCTATACTCTCGGTTCTACATCCTGCAACTACTACGTCGCATTCTACAACCTAACTTACTATATTACATTCTACATCGAACAATAGCGATATTATTATATATAGATATATAGCGATCCCTTATAATAAATAGTTATAGTTCCAATATAGAGTATAATTATTTTCTATTTGAAATTTTCCTATAGCGCGGCCGTACTTTAAACGACCCGGCGATAGAGTGGGAGCCTAATATAAGTAACGAAGAAGTAACTACTTATTTAATCGAGTAAATCTGAACTTATTTATTTAATAATACTATTATTATTTTATATTAATTCGCAACGATTAGTAATAATATTAGGTATTAGGTAGGTATACTATATATAATCTATCGAAATTTTATTTAATTAAGATTAATATTATTTAGAGAATATTTAATATCTTTAGAAGAGAAAAATTATTTTCAATGGTAAATAGAAGACGGTTATTAAACTTATTTATAATATAATTATTAAAACTATAGTAATTATTATTTATTTCTTTACTAATAAGAAGCGTATAGAAACATATTTGTAATATAAAAATAGTAGAAGCTACGGGCCTTTAGATATATATTTCGTTCTTACTGAGCCCTATACTATAAAAAGCGTTTATATTAATTATTAGTACTAAGGATATAGCAGTAATTGTATATATTGTAAGAGTACGTATAATTATAATTAATATATATATAATAGATATATTTTAATGTTAGAATAGTAAAGAAAGAGTATAATAAGTAAGAAATAAGGCGGGAGATAGTAGAGTAAAAGGGTTTGACGGATAAGGATATTGAGGGATTAATAATTAGTGAAATCCGGAAGATATTAAAGATTTGCAACGACGAATTGTAGAAGCGTAAGTAGAAGAGGTAATATAGTATTAGTTAATAATAATAGGTAACGGGTGGTAATTATTTATATAGAAACCGAAATTTTAGTAGTGTATTTTTATTTAATATTATATTTTTAAATCCTTTTTCGTAGTACCTTTCGTAATTCTTACTAAATGACTTTCTTGAAAAAAATAGGAGAAAAATAAAAAATTAAGAAAAATAAGAAAAAGAAATTAAGAAAAATAACCAAAAGAAATTAAAAATTTAAAAAAATTAAACAAAAGACTATGTAAGAAAAAGAAAATTAG